GGGCGGCGGCGGCGGGGTGAGTCGCAGGCCGAGGCGTCCCCGCCGGCTCAGCCCCGTCTCCAGGGGACCCGCCGTCCAACGGGCCCGGGGCGAGAGGGCGCAGGGCCGTAACCGCCCGGGGCCGCGGGACCCGGCGACCCTGAGGGTCTGGGGTTGGACGTGTAGCGCTGGCCGCCCAGCACAGCGTCCCGTTACCGCGTTCGTTCAGGAGTCAGTCCCGGTGCTTTTCCAAATCAAAGCTTTGGCGTTGAGGGCACGTTTGCTCTTCGGACGTCTCTGTAATCGCTCGCTTCGTGCTTGTAACTAAACCCCGGAGGGGCTTTCAGGAGAAAACACTGAACGTTTTAAGTTAGTTCAGGCGCCAATGTCCCCGGTGAGACCTAGCATCTATAAACATGAGTTTCGTCCTAAGTGCTGTTTCACTTCAATAGTGAGGGAAAAAAATCTCAGCCGACAAATCGCATTACTGACCAGTTCATACCAGTTCACAAAAATGTGCCCTGGAAGTTTGGGTTTTTTCACCCAACTCTTAGAGTGAATGTGTAAGAAACTGTAGTTTGAATTTGGTTGTACAGCTTGCCTTGGTGTCCTTCGGCAAGCCCTTTAAACTGGCGAAGTTAGAAAGAAAGCTTCCTGAGTTCTTGAGTTTGAAACGAAATGAAATTGTCGTATGTATAAGGAATAGGAAAAGTGAGGCTGGAGAGAGAGAGCGGTTAGAGGACTCGAACCTGAGTCCTCTTGCAGAAGACCTGAGTTCAGTTCCCAGCGCACAGGCTGGGCAGCTCACAAGCGTCAGAACTTCAACTCCAAGGGTACTGTAGCCCTCTTCTAGATTCTGGGGACATCTGCATTCACATACACCCAGACCCACACTCATACACATAATTGTTTGTTTGAAACAAGGTCTCACTTTGTAGCTCTGGCTAACCTGAAACACTCGCTATGTAGACCAGGCTGGCCATGAACTCACAGAGATCCATCTATCTGCAGCTGCCTTCCAAGCCTTGTGATTAAAGGCTTGCACCACCAAGGTAGCACAAATATTTTACCTTGTGCCTTGTTGCCTATATTGTATGCTAAAATCTCAACGCAAATTTCTAAGATAAAATTTGTGTAACTTAAGGAATGTTCTACTTTATATTAGTTGCAATAATATTTAAGAACTATGAAATGTTAGGGCTGGAAGGCATTTCAAAGATCTTACATGGTACAGTACACATTATTAAGTAAATGTTGAGGATTAAAGTTAATTTTGTCTTGATCTCAAGTTTTGTTTTTTTTTTCCTTTCGCCATACAGAATGTATTGCTGTCTCGAACACCAGATGTTAACTTAGTTTTTATAGTATATCTAATAAGCAGTACATATTGACATTGGAAGGGAGGAAAAACAGAATCCCCTTTAAGTTCATTTGCACCTGAAGCTCTGAGCATTAAATGTAGTTCATGAACTATCAACATCTCCTAATAAAAGCTTGTTCTTTAATCTTCCACTGTGTACTAAAATATTTCAAAGGCTTTACTGTGTGTTTACATTTTAGATGATTAAAGATAGACTTTATTGTCAAAAGTAACGACACAAGAGAGCCTATTAACAATAAATGGCAAGAAAACACAACCAAGAAATCTTGCTGTTTTGTGTTTTATCTGCAGGACACTGCCAATTTAAATTTTCCTAGCTTCCACAACTTATTCAACTTCTGTTCATTGGGTCTGAGTTCAGTATTGAATAAATAAAATACTTTCAACATTCACAAGCATTTGTAGTTTAACCAAAAACCAGGAGGTCTCAAAATACGTTTTTCACTGAGTTTATATTACTTGTAGATTCCACCATGTAGTGATGAGAACTCTGGACTTTTGAGTTTACATTATTCTACTTTATAATAGCTACAGAAATTGAAGTTTGAACAAATGAGCGACTTGCTTCTAGAAAAACTACAATTTAGGTTTCTCAGTTTTAATCCTATTATATACATGTAATGCATTTCTTTCTATGGTTTTGCTCATATGTTGATATAGTAATTAGTTTTCATAATTGAATATGGTACTCATAAGTAAATTTTGTTAAAAGAATTTTAGCCAGTGATAAGTTGGGTCATAAGACTTGTGTTTTAGTTCAACACCTATGCATGTTACCCATGGAATATTAAATATTCTTATTCTAAAATGTTACATTTTTTTCCTTCTACTTTACCATGTTAGCATTCACCTCATGCTATGGGTTCTATCCTAAATAACATTCCAAAGGCCTAAATGCTAAAGCTGGGCTACCTGCCTGTGGTGTTATTGGAACGCTGGGCCCTTAGGAAGTGAGGCCTAGTGGAAGGAAGGTAAACATATCTTTGATGGGGATATTAGGATACTTGCCTCTTCCTCACTCTTTCATTTTCTATCATAAGGTGAGCAGCTCCTCTGTCTTGTGTCCCTGCCATGATGTACTGTGCTGCCAGAGGCCCAAATCAACAGGTCAAGATTTCATTCTCTAATTAGTGTTACAAGTCTTAAATAACCTAATGGTATATAGTCTCTGGGGTGTCCTTGGGCACTTTATTTAGCTAACACAAATTACCTTTTAGGAAGGTTAGAACTTTATTAGGTTACCCATGAACTAGACAGGACAAAACTCTCAGAACAGAAATAGAACCTGAATTTATCCTGATCAGAGAGACTTGTCAAGAAGTATTCCCATCATCTGGCATAAGGTTGATTATATCCTGATTTCTCTTACTTCCTGAATAAAGAATTTAAAAATTGGAAAGGGTTTTAATGAGCCCAAATCAGTTTCTTGTCAGATTTAAGGCACATAGACCACAATGAATGGTCTTGTGAGCTATAGAGGACTAGAAACCCTGCTTTTCTAGTGTCCAATCCATTTGATTGCTTTATGTGGGGTTCTGCTATATTTAAATATAGTCTGTGTCAAACTCCCAATTTTAGTGGTTACTTAGGATTTCTAATTCACTGTATATGCTAGTATCACATTAATCATTTACTAAAATTACTCAAATCCTATTTGCTCTGAATAATACCAGAAATACTTATTTTATTTTAGCTCTGCAACTGAGTCTCAAAGTTATTTTTAATGATCTCTGTAGTCTTTTTCTGCTAAGACCCGATGTGGCCTTGGGATGCTTTTCAGTACTTACTCTACTTCATATTTTTAGCAGGTTGTTTTGGGGGCTCAGACCTAAGGACCTTGCACACATTATGCAAGTGGTCCTCCCCTGCACTGCACCCACAGCTTAAAGAACTCACTTTTAGGCAAACTAAATTAGTATAAATTAGTATGCTAGGTAAGGTTGATTGTCCATTCTTGGCAGAAAGGTTGTAAAGCGAAATTTTGTAGTACATGAGAGATTATATTAGAACTCTATAGTCATCTTTTCTTTGCTCATCAATTCTCCTTTTGTTTGAATTGTTGGTATTACTTTGTCCATTAGCCAATTATTATAAATAAATAATTTGAGAATATCAAATATTATGTTAGAATTTAGTATGTGAAATTATTTGGTTAGGATCAACTCCAAATTCTAATCATGCCTAAGTTGTAATTTAAACTTATTATTGATTTAATAACAGATTCAAGTTAGTCAAGCATTGGGTTATTATTTATAAAGATAACATAGACAAGTCATGGAAATTGTTTCTATGTGAGAACCCCAAAACTAGAACTACCCCACACATAGGCCAAACTGAAAGAAAATCCAAGGCTCAGGACCTCAGCAGCAAAATTTCTGGCCTTTATTGCTTATAAGTAGTTTCAGCTATGTGTCCCCTCTGTATACCTGTTACAATTTGCTTGGTCTGTTTTTACAGTGTATTTGTAAACCTCAATAAACTACATCTTTCTAATACTATGAGCATGTCTTATGGCTATGATAACTGTTTCATGGCTTCTTTCTCTATATTCAATTGATTCAAAAGATTATATATAGCCCACAAAATATTTTTTTTTTAATTTTGATACTGTTAAAACAGTGGTATCTAATAGTAGTTCACAGAACTGAGATAAGGACAAGGTCAGAAAAGTTTTGAATTTTGTATGACTTTAACTACTACTTGGAGGTCAGTGTAAAGCAGTGCTTTGAGATATAAAAAAGCTTTCATTGTGTTAGTGTAAGTATTGTTTAAGTTAGTGTATGTATCATCTAGGATGAGCCAACTTTGGAAATGTCTTTTTAGAGTAATATTTCAACTACCCTGTTTTTCAGTTTTATCATATTTATATTTAATATATCATTTATATTTAATATAAAATATTATATATGTAATATTTATATTTAATTTTATCATGCATTGTTATGAATTGCCATAAATTCTATGAGGAAAACCACAGGAAATAATACAAAAACAATGCTTAATATAGTTAAAGACTAGTATTTTCAGCTAGAACAATTACATTTATTCTATGCCCTGAAAGAAGTGCATATGAGAAAACAGTTTTCATCATTCAGTGACCATTGATATAAATTCAGGCTTTCCCCATGTAAAAGTATATTTCTACATTATGTATGTATTTAACCCAAATTTTTGACCCATTAAAAAATGAATTGTTTAGTAAATAGTAAAATATATCCTTGTCAAAAATCCATCATAATGTAATTACCAGTTTATTATCCTTGACTGGCATGGGGCTTCATTGTAAGCTGAAAATAAAATGCATTTAATACAACTAATTTACTGAATTTTGTAGCTTAGTAAGCATACTCACCTTTGTAATCCTGTAACTGACAGTAGAGCTGTGTCATATTGTTAATACCCAGCATTCCAAGAAAGCATCAAGTCATATATTACTAGCTCAAGAAGAGACAACAATTTTAAAATTCAAGGACAATGTCACTTCCACACCATAAGTTGAGGAGGCTGTCTATACAGAGTGTACGTTTTCTTAGAACTACTAGCCTACTTAGTGTATAATGTCTTTTTAAATGAGAATAATATGATTGTATACATTTCTAAGCTTATATTTTAGGTTTACATTAACGCTTTTATGTTTTTCTTTTTACTCTTTGAACACATCAGAGACCAGAAATAGCTGGAATGCTATCTTAAACCAAAAATCTATTTAAACATTTAATGCTGCTTAAATGAAAGATATATAAAACATCCAAAACTCCACCTGGTAACTATACTATTGAGACACTGGTCAATATGTCGCTCAATCCAAGTCGACCTTCTTCATCAGAGGTAAGAAAACCATGCCTATCATTGGTTCTGAAAAAAGCAAAAAATATGAATGCCATAAAATTTTGGATTCTGATTCTACTATTGATCCCAACTTCCCATATCATATTTCCAGATTATGTGATTATGCTTCTTACATCTCTAACATCTTTCCTCTTGTGACCAACAGTGAATTAGTCTTATCACCCTTTTTACTAGAACAAACATACTCCCCAAACCACAGTATTAGCTTTTTGATTGACACTGTGAAGCTACAATCCCCCAAACTCTAAGAGGCAGACAATACACACTGTTTAAAATCTGAATTCTCTGCCCTAACATCTTTTGCTACTTAAAGTTAGAATGAATTTTATCCTGGAGCCTGTTGTACATTGTAATCAACTTTTGTTGAAAGAAAGGAAGGAAGGGGAAAAAAGGAAATAAATTAATTCTTTGTCTACTTTAGAAAAATTTTAACTGGTGTTTTTCTTATTCAGTTGGTGGAACTTCATGTTTTTTATGTCCCTGAAGGATCGTGGAACTATAAATTAAATACTATTTCAATAGAAGTTATTAACAAGTTTATTTCTGCTGGATTTATAAGGCAAGTATTTTGTGGCAATGAAATAAGTTATGTAAAAAAGAGAAATATGTTTTCTGAAAATTGAAAATCTTCTAAGTGGAAAATCTCTTGTCAATTTGATGGATCCATTCCTAGTTCAGTAAATGCTGTTAATAAACAGTGCTGTGTAATGCTAGTGATGGGGATCGGGAGTGGAGTAGAGTGATGAGTGAGGTGCCAGGTGTAATCCCCAGTGCTGCAATACATACATAAGCTTTATTTATATCTTAAAAATTTTTATAGGAACAGGTATCATCTGGACATAATACTGCTACTGCCCAGAAAACAGTATATAACCTGTTTATTACTAAGATTATACACAAAATAATTAACAGAAATGATCTAAAATTCAAAACCAGTTGAACTCTGAACAGTAGTTAAAGCAATATATTGACAAGGTCTTTATAATTGTTTAAAGGGATAAAACTGTAGGTATGTGTGTGTGTGTGCATATATATATATATATATATGTATATATATATATCACACACAGAGACACGAGTGCGCATGCGTGTGTGTGTGTGTGTGTGTGTGTTCACATTCAAACAGACATGACACTGTGTAATCTAGCTCTTTGATTTTCCCTTGAGGGTATCTCACCTCTTCAAATTCCCCATCACTTTTCCAGTCACATTGACTTCCTTTCTGTTCTAAAACATATTACATATAGTCATTATATACAGTTCTGAGCTGCTGAGATCACCCAGCAACTGAAAGCACATACCCCACAGGACTAGCAACATGAGTTCAATTCCTGGAACCCACATAAAGGTGGAAGGGAGAAGCAACGCCACAAAGTTGTCCTCTGAGCTCTACACACACAGTGGTGTACACACCCATACACAAAATAATACTTTTGGGAAAAAAAGCATATAAATTTCATAACAAAGTTTTGTATAAATCATAAAACTTGGATATAGATTAGAAAAACAGACATTTCATTTTCAATCCAAAAAGCACTTTTGTAATCCATATTCATTTGTACAATTTTGAAAGGCAGGTTTTTAATCATTTTTTTGTTTTGAAAAAATGCTTGCTGGAATCCTGAAGTTCCAAACAGTATAGGAACATAAGGCATTAAATTATATTTAATACATTAAATTAGTATTTACATTTGTAAGTTAACTGACTAAACCTGCTGATTCATTAATATATTCAAAATCTATGTAAAACAATGTCATGGTATTTCAGAGTATCTCCTCAACTTACTTTACAAGCTTTGAGGGAGCGCCTTGGTGAGTTTCTTGGTGTAGATGCTGTTGCAGAAAAATTTTTATTTCTGAAATGCATTGGAAATAATTTAGCTGTGGTAAGTTTTCTTGCTTTTTTTCCTTCTAAGTAAAGTGTACATTATCAAATTATGTTTCTTAAATATTTATCAAGTCAGTTCCTTCACCTACTGTGAGATAATTTAGGTCAAATTCTAAAATGTTTGTAATATTTTATTTTAAACAAATACTTACTAACATTTTACTGCATATAAAGATAAATATAGAGCCTGCCCTTACAGTGCACTCAGTGTAATGGTCAAGGTAAATTATGTAATATGAATAAATCAAATGTCATATTTTATACAGTGAAGAAAAAGAAATTTTCCAGCAGCAGCAGCAGAAGGTAGGTAGGAGACATTGAGGAAGAAATGATACTCAGACTTGGCTCTTGAAAGATAACATTTGATCTTGAAAAGAATAAAGGGTGAAAAAAGATTCCTGATAAAAGAAAAGAGAATGATCAGAGGATTAGAAAATCAGGCAACACAGAAAGAATGAATGATTATCTTTTGTTATATTAACTCTGTCATAAAGTGGGGAGAGTAGAGAACCAATCATAAAGTACACTCTGAAGGTCTTGAATGCCAGATGAATATTTAATGATTTTTTTTTCTGAATCTTTGGAGGTTTTTTTGTTTGGTTGGTTTGGTTTTTGGTTTTTTTTGTTGTTGTTGTTGTTTTAAGATTTATTTATTATGTATACAATGTTCTGCCTGCATGTATGCCTGCATGCCAGAAGAGGGCACCAGATCTCACTACAGATGGTTGGGAGCCACTATGTGGTTGCTGGGAATTGAACTCAGGTCCTCTACAAGAACAGCCAGTGCTCTTAACCACTGAGCCATCTCTCCAACCCAGCCTTGGAGTTTTTGAGCAAATGAATAGCATGATTAAATCCTTTAATGAAAATTACTTTACCTTCATTGTGAAGTGGGAAGACATTGTGGGCCCATATTATAGCCAGTTATATGATCTGAGCAAGTTACTTAATTCTTTATGCCTCTGTGTCCCTGTCTATAAATTAGAGGTGATGTTCCTATCTGTCTCATGAAATTGCAAAGATTAGCTGAGCTAATTTATGTACCTCACACAGAATAGTGCCAGATATACACTGATTCCCTTGGAAATGATTACCATAATTATTATTAAAGGACATAGAATTTCCGTTGTTTGGTTCAGTGACTAGAAGTAGGATTGGATTCTATGTTCTCTTTGACCTAGCTGTAGTTACTTTTTTATTGATATGCTATATGTCTTCCATAGAAAAGCACAGAAAAATAATTGAAAATATTATCAAAGATTTAACTTTTTCTTATGTATTTAAATCTAGGTGAAGGAAAAGCAAGAATCAGAACTGAAACTCAAAGCATTTGCTCCTCCATATGTATGTGTTATTATCTTAAACTTAACTAATTTTAAAACCTAACATGGATTTTGTTGGTTTTGACTTTTTAAAAAATTTCCTGTGCTTTAGGCTCTTCAACCAGAATTATATTTGCTTCCTGTAATAGATCACTTAGGAAATGTTTATTCAGCATCATCAACAGTTACTTTAGATGAACAGCAGAATAATAATGATACTACAGAGATCAATGGAACAATCCACAGACCAGATAGTGTAACTTTACCAAAGGATGACCCTGGAGATCCAGGTTTGTTGGAAAATACTTGGAAAGACTTTACAAATCAAGAAGGTGATCTCAACTAAAATGGAGAAGGCAAAGAGTTTCTTATACATAGTAAATTTGAGCAGCTGAGCCTATATGCAAATGTTGGGCAAATCTAACCTTACAAATAGAGGGAAGATACAAGGAAAGCTGTAGTTCAGTTGGAGCTTAAAAATGTAAAGGTGTTAAAGGAAAAACAATACAATATTCTGTTAAAAATAAAATAAGGGCTAGAGAGGCAGCTCAGTATGTACTTTGCTAGACTTGCAAACGTAAGGACCCAACTTCAGTACACAGAGTCCTCATGAAGACAAAACAAAAGCTGGGCGTGATGATAGGCACTTGGACACCAGCACTGGCGAGTCAGAAACAGGTAAAGTCTTGGAATTTACTGCCTACCTACCCTGGCCTACTTGGTGAGCTCCAAGCCAGGGTAAGACCCTACCTCAAAAACACAATGGTAGGAGCTGGAGAGGTGACTCAGAGGTCAAGTGCATTTACTACTGTTCTTGCAGAGGACCTGAGTTTGGTCCTCTGTAGTCCAGAAGATCTGATACCCTCTTGTGACCTCCATAGGCACCAGGGCTTATGTACATATCCACACAAACACACATAATTAAAAATAAAATCTTTAAAAGCACATACAAAAGTAGATGGCACTTGAAGAAGGACCCCTAAGATTGACTTCTGGTTTCCATGTGTACCTGTGTACATACACCCATATACACTGGTGCACCTATACACACACAGTCACTTACATGCAAACAAAGTGACAGATAACAAAAATGCTTTAATTAAAATTAAATTTATACAAGCTGTTTATAAACGCTGTTTAGAAAAATGGCAGTTAAACATTTTTATCATATTTCATGGGCTAAGAAGATGTGCAAGGAAAAATACTAAATGTAAGTGAAGTACATCTCCCTAACTAACGAAAGTATCCATTACAGCTGTAGGATATTGCTTCCTAAGTATATTTATTGTCATCTCAATTTATTCTACACCAGATGATATTTCAAACTTACCAGTTTCTGGATTATTTCTTATGTTAATATTTAGTATTAGTTGATGCCAGTAAGATAGATACTCAGTGAGAATCTTTATCTTGGCATGACTGTTCTTTTCATTCATGTCAATCACCTAAACACTAAGGGGGAAGAAATTGGAAACATTCACAGTAAAATCCAGTATTTCTGAGTGCTGCAAGGTGGAGTGGCTAATGAAGATGTGGTTACTCTATCAAATTTCGAGTTGTGTCAGATTTCACATTCTACATGAATTATGATAACTGCATACAACTTTTTAAAACTTTGTGGGAATGTTAAATTCCACAAATTTATAAAAAATGTGGTTATTTTGTATTTTACATTTATTTATGTGTCTGTGTCTGTGTGTGTGTGGGGTGTGTGTGTGTGTGTGTGTGTAGGTCAGAGAACAACTTGTGGGAATAAGGTCTCTCATTCCACCATGCTGGATCCAGGGATTTAAATCAAGTCATCAGATTTGATGAGTGCCTTTACCAGCTAACCCATCTTCTAGCCTACAGGTTTGGTTCTTAAATGGGGTTAATTTTTTGGTGCTTTTCTAAAAAATAAAACAAAACAAAATCCCTTCTATTTAAATGAGATGCTGTAACACAATACTTGTTCTTAAGAGTTCCAGAAACTGCAGTGTGTATCAAGAATAAAGATTAATAATGATTGTGTTACTCAGAAGTCACTTGTCAAAATTTTGATGTATTTTTCCAAATATTATTGATATTATAGTTTGAATATGAAATGTTCCTTCATATAATCATGATATGGATGGAATTTTCAGGATTTAGTTAGTGGGGATCTGTTCAAACATTTAATACTATTATAGTATGAGGAGAAAGGATGAGCATGTACTGTGAACTTGTATTTCTGGAGAGGTAGGTAAGGATTTAAGAACTCTGGACAAGCTTAAGAATTCAGTGGACAGTAGAAACCAACTGGAGTATTGAGAGTGACAGGATTGCATTTCAGTTCTAGGAACACAAGTTAGGTAACAAGAAGAATAGAGATGAGCACTAAAGGCCTGATCTAGGAAAATGACAGTTGAGGTTGAAATCAGATTTTAAAGTCAGGGACTTTATTTTACATTTGTGTGTGTGTGTGTGTGTGTGTGTGTGTGTGTGCGCGCGCGCACACGCGCGCGCGCGCGCTTGCTTCAGCACTAAGCCACTTTAAAGAGGAGGAAATGGTGAAGTCACATATGCTATGGCAGTGCCAGGACTTGAGTTGGATTTTATTAAAAGCCCATGCTTATAGCACTGGACTAGAGGCTTATTGAATTATTTAAAATGTTATACACATTGTTAGTACTCTGCACTGTCACATGTCATTCCCTAAATTTCTCTTCCCTTTGTCACAAAGAACTCACAATTGCACAGATTACATGTTGATCCACTTTGTATTGATAGCACAAATGACAGATATGTATCTTATACAACTGTCAGAACGGACCCACAAGTCTACTAGTTTTGCATTGTCATTTATTTGCTGCGGTAGGTAAGCAGAGTGGTGTTTTACTATTAATTTTAAGCAGCTGTTACATCCAGTTTTTTTCATTTAACATCAATTAGATCATTTTGAAAATTCCCATTTGCTTGACTTTGTCAATGTCAACTGGGAAATGTGGTTAAATTTAAATTAAAGTGATAAATTCAAGTGGAAAAAATGCTTTTGTTTGTTTATGTGTTCTGGTGTTCTGCCTGCATATATGTCTGTGCACCACATTCATGCAATGTCCAAAGAAGGCAGAAGAGGGTGTTGGATCCCTTGGGATAAGAATAACAGGTGGTTGTGAGCCACCATGTGAATGCTGGGAATCAAACCCAGATCCTCTGGAAGATCAGTCCATGTTCTTAACTGCTGAGCCATCTCTCTAGCCCCCACAAAATGATTTGACAAACTTCGTAAAGTGACTTTTAAAATATTAATTTGGCTCACTTTTTAAATACATTTTAAAATACTGATTTCTAGGGGAAATAATCTACATTATCGGTTAGGCCTATGGATCTTTATAGAGTATTAGTGTTAAGAAAGACATATTTAAAAAATTACTATTCTTTAAATTTTTAAAGATGTATTTATTTTTAAATTACTTTCTGTGTGTGGATGTATTGCCTGCATGTATATCTGTGTACCATGTGTATGCCAATGTCCCAGAGGCCAGAAGAGGACATCAGATCCCTTGGTGCTGTAAGCTACTATGTGGGTGCTGAGAATTGAACCTGGATGTTCTGGAAGAATAGTCAATGTTCTTTAACTGCAGAGCCATCTCTCTATCCCCAAGAATTGCTACTTAAACAGAGGGAGATTTTTATAAATGAAAGTGTATATAAAAGTTTTCTTCTGTTTTCATACTAGCATTTTCTTAAATAGGTTTCTCAGATTTTTTTCAATAGTATTTTTAGACAAAAGGTTTTATGAAGACTAAGTCTGATAAAACATAACTTATTTCCTCTTTCAAATTCATGTTGCACATAAAAATACTGCAATAGCATATGTTCACATGTACATGCTTGTGGTGTTGGTGAGGGTGGGTGATCAGTTGAGTTCACTAAAGAATCTTTATTCATATGAACTAATACTTTGTGAAACTCATTCTGGAAAATATGCATTTGTGTTTGCAAAGTTTATGACATAAGGTTATAACATATACATATGAGAACAATGCTTACTTGACTATTTTCCTAATATTTGAATTTTATTTGCCATGAATGAACACAAACATCAGCTGAGGAAAGCCAGACTACACAAAATCACCCTGGGAATTCCGAGTTGCCAGGATCGTTGGAAGAATCAAATGATTGCTTTGGGAACCTAAAAAGGTAATTAGTACAAATGGTGATTATACATATCCTGATCTTGAGTATAAGGAAAAGAATGTATTTATACAACAATGTAGATTATAAACTTTTCAAATTAAGCATCAATTGTATAAGCAAAAGAATTATATTTACAAAATAATTATTTTTCTAAAATTTCTAATTATTTTTAACCTTAACATAGACTCATAGTGATATCTTTTTTTGTTGTTGTTGTTTTGTTTTTGGTTTTTTTCGAGACAGGGTTTCTCTGTGTAGCTTTGCGCCTTTCCTGGAGCTCACTTGGTAGCCCAGGCTGGCCTCGAACTCACAGAGATCCGCCTGGCTCTGCCTCCCGAGTCTGGGATTAAAGGCGTGCGCCACCATCACCCGGCATGTGATATCTTATTTTACTACTCACATTAGTTTATGAGTTTGAAAGAAAATATACAGCTCAGTATGATTCTTCTTTTTTTTTTTTTTGCGGGAGGGGGGTGTTGTTTGTTTGTTTTAATAAGAGGTTGGGTCACGCTATGATGCCCAGGCTGGCCCTGAACTCCTAGGCTCAAGCAGTCCTCTGCTTCATCCAGGGAAAAAGTTACAATGATACAAGCCACCCATCTGGCTTTTAGGTTAACTTTAACCATTTTCAAAGTTATATTTGTGTTTATATAACATCAAAGTAAACATCATGTATGAATATGTAGGTCAAATTTTAACATGACTTTCAAATCTATTCTCTTTTAAGTCCATTTCTTTGGAAAGATGGTGATGATGATGATGATGATACAACTATCAATAGACAGCAGGCCAAACAGGTATGATATTAACATTTTTACTTAATGTAGCATTGCAACATAATACTAATTTGAGCTACAGGTTAAATATCTGCTTTTATTTATAATGCCATAAATATATTGTTGTAATATCAGTAGTATCACTGGTGGTTCAATTTTTGTTTCTGTTTTTGTGAAGAAATAATATGCCCAAATAAGTGGGATGAAAATTTTATATACAACAGCTTTTTAGATTGTAGCTGCAGAGTTTTCTCTCCGGGTCCTATCAAGCTCCGGCAGTCTGACAGCCCACTTATAAAATAAACACACAGACGCTTATATTATTTAAACTGTTTGGCCTAATGGCTCAGGCTTCTATCTATCTAGTTCTTACATCTTAAATTAATCCATTTTTATAAATCTAAACCTTGCCACATGGCTCGTGGGTTACTGGCATCTTCACATGCCGCTTGTTATGGCGGCAGCTGGCAGTGTCTCCTTCCACCTTCCTGTTCTCTCAATTCTAATCTCTGTTAGTCCCACCTATACCTCCTGCCTGGTTACTGGCCAGTGTTAATGACCAATCAGAGCAACACATTTGACATACAGACCATCCTACAGCATTAGACCATTTTCTTAAATGCTTTCACTGTTTTTAAGGTACTCTGACCTTTAATTGTTGGTGGTTGTTTGGTTTTTTTTTTAAGATAATTTATAATTGAATATGCTGATAGATGTATTTCATTAACTCAGCTCTTTAGAACAGATTTTTTTGAGTGCATTGAAAGGGTTCTCAGTTATTGGCAGTGTGGCTTTAGATCAGCTATTTAATGTGGTGGCTAGCAACAATCTAAAAGAGCTAATGAAAAATATTTACTTCACCAGTATATTCTGAAGGAGGGAAGACATGGAGAGAATTTTGTAAATATCTGTAGCATGAATTAGGATGTTATTAAGATGCTAGCAATACTAGATTTAGTAATAGCCAACTATGAGTATCTGTTACCAGGTACTATTCTAAGCACTTTACACATATGTTTCATTTGATTTCCTTTCCCCTGCAAACAACAACAAAACTTTATGAGGTAGATATGATTATACATATTGATTGCTGACTTAATGGATTGAAATATGCCTAGGAGTTAGTAAGGCACATTTTTGAATGTGTCTGTGATAGTGTTTCCAGAGAGATAAGTGGTGAAGATCCTAAGTAGAGACACCACGCTCCAGCATGCTGGGTTCTGTACAGAAGACAAGGAGAGGATGGAGGAAGTCCACTTGGTAGATGTTCTTGTTCTGTTGCCTGTCCACTATGAAGTAAATAGTTCACTGGGCCACATAGTCATGCTGCTGTCTGTCTGCCTCATCACAGAAACATCAGTAATAGAAAGATCCAGCTATGGACTGAGACCACTAAAACTAGAGCTGAAATAAATCTTTCCTTCCTGCAGTGATTGTCAAATACAGGTATTTTCAGTGGCTGAGCAGTTCTCTTCTATTAACTTAAATCAATGGAACTCTTATCTCGGCCATTAGCCCCCAAGAAACACATTTCAAAGCAAACTGAATCTGCTCGATAACCATCTCCAGTCCTCTATATTTTCAGTTTCTTGCTTTTGGACCCTCTCATTCAAAGTGCTATGATCTACCAAATCTTGCTCTTGGTGGAGTCCTGTCCTAGAGTAGAGCAGAGTTGACATTTCTATGCTGTCTAAGTGTAGTGCTCTGTAATATAAAGTGTGCATCTGACTTTGCTTCAGTGTGACCTCTGGCCACACTATGGGTTAGAGTTCCTATCTCCACACTTGCATGTAAATTGTAGGATTCTGGGATCTTAGGCTGTACATATAAATTATCTGCCTTCCTTTTGTGATATTTAGAAGGCTGTATGGAGAAAAATCTAATTTCTGTTATGTAGAAACTTTAAATAAGCTGCAGAACGAACAAAACAATATGAATAAGACTTGATTTATTTGAAAGTAGTAACTAGTATATTAGAGAATTAAAAACCTAGCAGAATTTAAAACAATTCAAGTTCTATAAAAGTAATGAGAGAAACATCAACATGGCAATACTTGAGTTATCTTATCAAGAACAGGTAAAAATATGAAAATGAAGAAAATTGAGGCAAGAGCAGCAGGTTAAGTCACTTGACACCAAGCTTTATGACACCAGGACCCAGTTGATGGAAGGAGAGAACTGTAGCTAGAGTTTTCCTGCCTTGCCCACAGTCAGGACAAATCTTTGTCACTCGCCAGTCCCACAGCCACTCAGACCCAACCAAGTAAACACAGACACTTATATTGCATACAAACTATATGGCCATGGCAGGCTTCTTGCTAACTGTTCTTATAGCTTAAATTAATCCATTTCCATAAATCTATACCTTGCCACGTGGCTCGTGGCTTACCAGCATCTTCACATGCTCCTTGTCCTGGTGGCAGCTGACAGTGACTCCTTCTGCCTTCCTGTTCTTTCTTTTCTCCTCTCTGTTAGTCCTGCCTATACTTCCTGCCTAGCCACTGGCCAATCAGTGTTTTATTTATTGACCAATCAGAGCAACACATTTGCCATACAGAACATCCCACAGCAGAGAACTGAGTCCTGCAAGATGTCCTGTGAACCTCCATAGGCATATACCATACACAAAACAAAGTATATAAATACAAATGAAGGAGAAGGAGAAGGAGGAAAAGAAAGGAGGGAAAGGAAAGATAAGACGTTGAGGAAATAAAACACAGAGGAGGTTGAGCTTGTAAGAATAATATACAAAACAGTATGCTAACATTTTGAAAATGTGATAGACTCATCAATTTTCTTGGCAAGTATAAGTTTCAAAATTGACAGGGTGAAAAAATCAGTAGCCATCTTAAAAACTTTAAGAAGCTATTATATTGAGCGACTAAAATCAGAAATCTTGCAAAAAATCACATTTAGAAAGATAATGACTTTTTAAAGCCTTTTTCTGTACTGTCTTCATAAAATGTCCAAGTCATAGTAAAATGGAGAGACAAGAACATGAGAAATAATGTATAGCTACAAATGTAGAATTGGGAGTGCATTGCTATGTAATAAAAAGGCATTGCTGGTGTGCTTTAGCAGACACTGTGGACAAAATAGAAGTAAGTTTCACACTGCGGTTATGTCCTTTCTCATGATTGCTTACAGGTGGGTGACAAGGAGTACACCCCCCTACCTGATCTTATTGACTTTCCTTCATTGCCTTCTCAGCGAGTTTCTTCAAGGTTAATTGATTCCTCTTTGTTAAAAATTGAGAGTAAGTATTTGTAACATCGTAAGTATGGATAATTCTGCGTGAGGCAACTTAACTATGTTAACAAGGAGTTATTGTTTATGGCCAAAAAGTTTCCATTTATGAATGTTTTTTTAAGTTATGGAGGTGGGGGATGGGAATGGTTATAGAACATTGTAAGTAACTCAATGCCACTTAACTGTATATTGAAAATATTTAATGGCAAATTCTGTTATATGTATTCTACTATAAATTATATATTATAAATTATATTAGTTCTATGTTGATTACAGTGTATATTTAGTCACGGGCCCAAAATAAATTTACCAAAAGTAAGAAAGTAACAAATAGAAGGATAACTTAACCTGACTACCTAGTTTCACACATCTATGTAAATGCAGAAGAAATAGACTATTTTATAAATCCAAGCAAATCAAAAATGTCTCCTCCAGATTCTCCATAGTAGTAAGAACAGAAAGAAAAATATCCGTTTTGAATATGTGTTATTCTGTTTATACACTTTCAGGTTTTTAACGCTTGTCTTTTGGGATATGAACCATCTTTTAGCTTTTCAGAATTGATGAGTATGGGTTATAATCTCTCTAGGAGAGAAGATTATTGAACAAATGAAACAAGTAAAGGAAGAAAGAAAATATCTGGAAAATATTAGAGAAGAACTAATTAAAAAAGTTGAAAAACTATTTGAACAAAATAAATCGAAACGATATCATGGTAAAGTTTATTGCACAGATTTTATACCTATAAAGAAAACTAACCCTAAATTCTACAGAATTGATACTTTAAGTATAAATAATAGTTATAATTAATATTTATTTCACTTGTTACAGTTTAAGTAATACATAATTGCAGTATATTAATATAGAAAACAATTGTTATTTGACTTTCATATAATAAATGCTTTGCATAAGGCTTTGTAAATTAAAACTCAAATATTTTTGCTATCGAAACTCATTTTAAATGAATTCTTTCACTCATTTACTAAGTAAGTATTTAAGTGTTTAGCATATTTAGACACTGTCGTAAGAGCTGAGGAGATACTAATAGTTATGCACAATCAGGGAAAATAACCAAGTTAAGACTAACTGACACATTGTGTTTAGTGCTATTGTAGAGGAATTTCACAATTGTATGTACAGAAATGTAAAGGAAGAACGCTAGCCTGGGGGGAAGAAACCAAGAAAGCCTTCCAGGAGGAGCTGATGCCCCAGGACCCAAGCATGCTTCCTGGCCCCATGCCTTCTCCCATGCTTTTCCCCATCATCAACCGATCCTTCTCCCATTAACTTCTACTCGGCTTGCTGGGTTGTTTCACTACTCTAGGAGCTATCTCTGAGTCTTGGAACTGCCCTAGCTGCTTAATTTGGGGATCTATGTGCCTTGCTGCTTTGCTAATATGAATGAATGAGGGAACTTGTGGGGAGGGGGCTTGCATTTTCTTGTAATAGAACCAGAAGCAATATGATTAGAGATAGTAGGAATGAAGGGAAATGTGAGCCAGGGTGAAGAAAGTGTTAGATAATAGTTTGAGAAATGATAATGATTGAGAGGCCTTCATTTTGGGTTGCATTTGAGGATTATGAAGAAAAAGCCATATGTTGAATTAATTTATTTTAGAATTCTTAATTTATAGCAAAATACTAAGTTTCAATCCTAAAAAATGACTAAACACCATAGACCACTTCATAATCTATGAAGAATGTGCTTAAGAATATTCAATTGTTACCTTGAAGTAGTAACTCAGCCCTGAGTAATGTTGAAAGAGTCAAATTAACACTGGGGCCTAGATTCTAACATTAAATCAGTCTTTTTTTTTTTTTATGGTTTTTCGAGACAGTTTCTCTGTTGTTTTGATGCCTGTCCTGGATCTCACTCTGTAGACCAGGTTGGCCTGGAACTCACAGAGATCCACCTGGCTCTCCCTCCCAAGTGCTGGGATTAAAGGCATGCACCGCCGCCGCCACCACCCTCCTAAATGGAAATTTAGTCACTTTTCACTTCAAAAGTAATGTATACACACACACACACACACACACACACACACACACACACACACACACACACTCAGATATTTAGTGATCCTGCTATGTGCCAAGTGTATTAATTTAAGTACTAAGGATGTACCAGTGAACAGAATAGACCTGGGCTTAGCCCTGCTATAAGGAATGTGCTTCCAAATGGTAGAGGACTGATAATAAAGAGGTGAAAACCTGCTAGCTCAGAGAGCTTGAGTAGCAACTAGCCGGCCTCCCCTTGCTGGCATCTCCCAAAGAAAGCATTCTTCTACTCTGCCAAACAAAAAAAGCCACACCACTCCAAATCCCTCCCTCCTCCTTCCAGTGTATGTCTCTGTCTCTCCCAGATGCCTCTGATGCTTTATGGTTACTTTCTCAACTAGTTGCTAACTCAGGCTCCTGACCCAAGGTTAATTTTATTTAATTAATGCAAATGGAGTTCACAGTGTTATCAAATATCGCCCAACACTTCCTTTCACAGGTTGCAGAATTAGCTGAAGGCACTCCTCCCTTTTTTCGTTTAGTATCCATTTAGCATCAGGCCTTTCTTGAAACTTCTCATTTCCTTGAGCACAGGACTTGGCTCCAGCATCACATCCCCTGTGCTCCTTTTCTCCTCAAACATACATTGTGTATTTTTGCCCCACTTGCTCTTTTGCCTTGTCGATATGGATGAAGGGTCACTAATAGCCACGTGACATGTCAATACTATGTTGTCTTGAAATTTCTGCTGCCAGTGATGTTAGTCTAAAACTCTTGACTTTAACCTCAGGGAGATTCTTAGGAGAAAGGCAAAAAGCAGCCACTTTCTTTGCCAAAATATTACAATAATTGTCTCTAAAACCTCTTGATTTGGGCCTCCCTAGTCCACATTGCTCTTATCACTACTGTCCTCCAAATTCCTACTAGGATGGCCCATTAAACCCTGCTTATAGCATTTAACCACTTCCCCAATCCAAAGCCCCAAAGTCAACATTCCACCAACAAGCAGCATGCTAAGGCCTGGCATAGCAATACCCTAATCCGTAGTACCAGCTTCTGTCTTAGTTATTTTTATATTCCTGTGAAGAGACAACAAGACCAAAGCAACTTTTAACAAAAAGCATCGGTACAGCTTCAGAGGGCTAGTCTGTGATCCTCATGGCAGAAAGACAGCAGCAAGCAGACAGGCGTGGCACTGGGGCAGCAGCCGAGAGCCCACATCTGATACGCAAGCAGGAGGCAGAGAGAGACTGAGCCTGGCATGGGCTTTCGAAACTTTAAATTCCACTTCCCTCACCCTCATTGGTACATCTCCAGATAAGGCCACACCTCCCAGTCCTTCTCAAAGAATTTTACTAACTTCAGACCAAGTATTCAAATATAGGAGCCTATGGGACCATTATCATTCAAATCAATGCACTAAGTATGCTATTATCTAACAAACATTTTTCTCAGCTTTAGGTATTTATAAGTCTATAAGAGCTGAAATAAAGTCGAGAAGGAAAATGTTTTAAATTGGTATTTTTTTTAACTCTAGGATCCTTTCTACCTTAAAACTTTAATCCTGTAACATAGTGGTTCTCAACCTTCCTAATCTTTGACCTTTAATATAGTTCCTTATGTTGTTGTGACCCCTCAACCATAAAATTACTTTTGTTGCTACTGTAATTTTGCTACCATTATGAATCATAATTAAATATGTTTTCCGATGATCATCTTAGGTGACCCCGTGAAAGTGGTTGAGAACCTACAGGTTGAGAACCACTGCTTTAACAGTATCCACCTATAACTTTTGTAGTTTGTTTTGTTTGTAGCCTGTGATAGCTGGAAGAAAAAATACTTTGACACCAAGAAAGTCACAGCATCATTGGAGGAAGTTTTAACAAAACTTCGAGAAGATTTGGAACTTTACTATAAAAAACTCCTGATGCAGCTTGAAGCCAGGGAAATCAAGATGAGGCCAAGGAATCTGGCAAACATCTCAGATTCTAAGGTACTGTAAACTGCACCCTTCCTCTAGAAAAGTCCTATGCAGAAAGCATTCTTTATACTTGTATTACTGTATTTAGGATTCTCTGAGTTACTTGTAGCAAAACTTGCTTGGACAGTAAAAAACAAAGTCCCTGGCCTGCTGTCACAGGAGAGGTGCTGAGGAGGCGACAGTCAGAAGATACTGTCTCTTAGGGCCGTGGTGCTGTTGGTGTTTCCTCCCTGTCTGGATTGTTGGCTTCAGAAGACAGCTTTTGTCTAGTAACAGCAGTCGAGTTGCCAGTGGCTCATGGGATCATATGTTCTTAAAATAGGAGAGAAACCTGGTCCAGAGTGGTTGGGTGTTCTGAAAGAGGGTCACTGCAAGATTAATTTAGGCTCTCTGTGGCAGCAGGGAGGAACAGTTTCTATGAACTAAACCTCCAACAGCCGAGCAAAGGCTTATTTATTGTTACATAAAAGTTGTTCTTTGGGTAAACAAGTTCCTCACACCAAAGCCCCTGATGTTTATGTTTTCTGAAGGAAAGCATCACACCCCTGCCACTTTAGTCCTTATTGTGTACTGATTGCAGTACCCAGTAATTCAAGACCTCTAGGTGTGCCAGGACGGTCTTGTGACAAAAGTTATGCAAAAGCAGCTTCAGAAAAAACAGCTCTATAGCTAACAGAAAACAATCACTGTTTTCCATAATGATTTCTTAAAGGCCAAAGTACTTCTAGAAAATAACTAGTCATTCTCATATTTACTCTAGATACAGTGAAAAACAACTGTTTCATTGTAATGTTAATTAATCCTAGATACAACGATTCTACTAGATTTCCTACTACACAGAGTCATGAAATATAAAAATCTTTCCTTTAGCCTAGTTGAGGGTTAACTAGGCAAAATGCTGAATCAGTAACAATTGCCAAGGAATGCTCTGGCTGCCTTAGGCTTTACAAAGAAATAAATAACAGATAAACAAAGGTAAAGTGTGATGGTTTTTAGTGGTGCTCTTACCCTGCAAGGAAAAGTCATAAAACAAGACAGAATCCACTAACAAGAGTTTTATTAAGACAAGGAGAAAGGGATAAATGTGATCAGGCCTGCAGAAGGACATGTGTGTGAAGAAGGCGGGCAGGGGAACATGGGGCCTGCCTTTTTGAGAGCCAGCTCACACCTGCACACACAGGCCCATGTGGCTACTCCACATATGCGCATAGATCACTTGCTCATGCCTCTCAATTATGTGACCACGCAGCCAGGGGCATGGATTAGTAGGACGTATGAATAGTAGGACGTAGGAAATGACCAAGTGTCCCACCAGGGAATGCGTGACCATGGGGGCGTGGTTGGAATTTTTATCAAGCTGCTAATAAAGCTCACTGTAGTCCTGTGGGGAAAGGGAGTTACAGCACCCACAGAACTCAAAATTACTGATATTCTAAAGAATTTTTTAAATTATATGAAATTTTGATCAACTCATTTATTTTGTTGAGATAGTCTTGAATCTTACATCGCCATCAAGAGTATCCTTTATTGTATAATTCTACCACATAATTAAATAGGCAAAAATAAACGCAGGAGTCATTTAACATTTTTTGGTTAGATTCACCTCATATATTCGAAAGATTTAAAGATATGTTAATTATGAAAATGACTTCACTTTAGACATAATGAAATAGAGAATGTTTACTACTTTAGATAACTTTAATATAAAACCCAGATAGGCTAAAATAATTACTTGCTGTTGTTGTACTCATTTCTCAAAACCCCCAGAGACCACCAAGGAGCCAGTTTCTGTTACAAGCACATAAGGGTCCTTTTATTCAGGTTCAACCTGGGCCACCACATGGCAGATGGAAGGAAATGTGACGGCGGCCGTGAGCCCAGGTGTAGAGAGTTTTTATAGGGAAAAACCACAAGCTGGGAATTGGCAACTTGGGATTGGGTAGAAGGAATATTGGGGGCAAGGTGATTTTTTTAAACTATTAGTCTAGACTTTGGGCGCGAAACCACATTTGACACCATTGGGTTGGACTTTTGGCAGGGAACCACAACACACTGAATAGGGTTTTCTGGACTGCTCAGCAGGATTATCTAGATATTTTCAAGGGCCATAAACCGCAGACAGAATGTCTGCAGGAGGATTCTGCTCTGTATCCATTAGAGTTGTCATAGCACATTCCTGAGGTCCTTCCTGGAACTGAATACAGCAGGTAGTCTGAGATGGTGGCCCTTTCCCTAAGATGGAGCCCGTAAAGTCAAGTCTAGACCTTCACAACCATATTAGTCAATACTATTTTAGCACAGTTAATATGTTTACTATTTTATTGGTTCAACATGAGACTGTTTCACAAAGTTTAAAATTCTTTTTTGTTGTTGTTTGTTTTCCGTATTTTGAGACGGGGTTTCTCTGTAGCCCTGGTTGTCCTAGAACTCACTCTGTAGACCAGGCTGGCCTTGAATGCAAAGATATGCCTGCCTCTGCCTCTGAAGTGCTGAGATTAAAGGCAGATGCCACCACTGTCCTGCATGGAATTATAAATTTCTTAAATAACTTCTTTAGTAAAGAGAACTGTACTGCATAAGTTTTTCAGGAAAAAAAAAATTTTATTTTTAGTATATTTTCTTACATGAGTTAAATTATTACATATTTTTAAATAATCCTAATCTGATTCAGCTAATAAAATACTGTGCTGAATTCTAAGTGTTTGCTAATATATTCATAAGTTAATAGTGTTAATAATGTTACATTGATGGTTAGTTTTACAAATATCAATTTTGTTTCCTGAAACGGGATCTTACCCAGCTTGGCCTCAAACTTGATATCCTCCTGCCTCAGCCACCTGAATACTGAGATTATAAGTATGCACCATGATGCCAGGCTCAGTTTTTAAAAATGAGTAATGACTAGAGGTAGAACAGGAGAGACAGTCATCCCTAAAGCACAAGAATCAACAGAAAGGAAGGTTCCAAAACAGTAAGTTTGCTTTCTGAAATGGATTGTTTTTCTGATCACTTCATAGTTTATGTTCATAAGGCCATTTATTCTAAATACTCAAATATTATACTAAATAAATGATTTTGTCTCACACAGAATTATCTTATAATCCAGATCACTGAAGTACAGCATGCAATTGACCAACTTAAGAGAAAATTGGACACTGATAAAATGAAACTCATATTAGAAGTTAAGGTAATTTAAGTTTCTCTTAATCAGATTATAACATTCATCTTGAAATAAAATAGTTTAGTATTTTAACCTTGAATGTCAATATCATAAGGGTAGCTGGGACTGACTCTTTTTAAATTAGTACCTTAACAGTAAAGAACATGAATGAAAAAAATGTGGGAAGAAAACTAAACATAAAAAAGATGCATGTTATAACAAGGCCAAAGAAAAATTAAGTAAAATTTTACTAAAAGTAATTAAAAGTTAAAGGACCATGTGAGTCAGTACAACATGAACAGAATAACTTTAAACATGGTTTTTCTACATTTTCAGACATTCATACATCTGACAAACCTCCACATAAGCCCCTAACTCTCACTTGATTTGTTTCCCTTTCTTGGGTATTTCATTGTTGTTATTTTCATACATATGAAATGTGACTCTTCTGCTAGGTACTGAGTCTCCTTGGGAGCAGAGACTGCATTAATATAAGCTTTATTTCTCGGTAGGAGCTTTTCTATACTGAATATCTACTAGATGACTTGGAGCATGCTTAGCTTTTATAAGGTGATATATAGTTGTATCATAGGAATACATAGGAACTGTATCATAGGACTCTCTGGAGCATGGATGCCTTTGTTGTGGTTTCTATCTCTGTGTGGACATGCTGTATTATTGCAACCTGGGGGCTCTTGCAGCCCATTGTGCATGATAGACAAGCACATCCCCACAGAACTACAACTCTATCCCTAGAAATTAAAAAACTCTTGTTGAGTTGAATAGAAAACAAACGACTGTATATTCTTTCATTAAAGCATATATACATAAAACAGGAAAGACTGGCCACAGAAATTCTCCATTCACTCTTTTTCCAGGATAGCTGCATGGCACAGAATAATTATTTTCCAGAATTAGCACTGACCAATAGAACTTTCTAGAATGAAGATATTTATAACTCACCATTGAATATGGTTGCCACTACTACCTAAGGATATTAAGCACTTCAAATATAGCTTGTATGATGAAGGACCTAAATTTTGGATTTTATTTTCCTTTAGTTAATTTAAATTTACTACTATCTACTACACTGGACAGTGCAGTTCCAGATGCATTTCACTTCCCTCAAGGCTTTCTCAGCACTAGGATGTTTAAGACTTAAGAGGAAAAGAACAAAGGATAACTTCAATAATATGAGTTAAATATTAAATAGTGTGCAATAAAAAGTTTGTCCAGTGAAGGAAACAATATATGTTCAGTATATGGAGAGGAAGCCAAAGTCGAGATATACACCCGAGGATAGTGGGGATGCAGAAAGGAGTATATCCAGCCTTCAGTTATGACTTCCTCCACTTCCTTCTGGAAAGCATGCACATTAGATTCCACCTTCTGTATAGATTTTAACTTTATTCTTGTGACTTATGGCTTAAACCTAAATGGTAATTTTGTTTTAAAGACAAGAAGTTTTCAGTTTAAGGACTGGAAGAAAAAAAGTCCTGTATTTAACCATAGTGCCTAGAAGATGTATAACCAATAAGTATTTATTGATTTCTAAATGAACCACCTAAAACATTCCCACCAATACTATTCAGAAATAAGAGGCAGAAAATCACACCTGAGTGTGTTGCAACCATATTTACTCAAGGTAGTGGAGCATAAGTAGTACTTCTAAAAGTTTAATGGTTTATATTAACAGGAGAATTTGTTTAAAAATGCAGCATTTGGCTGCATAAACCCAGGGAAGCCTGAGATTTATTATTCTTAGTAAATTCAGAGGCGGTGCTAATGCTCTTGGTCCATACATAGTATGTGGAATACAGGTGGCTGTTCCAACCTTGTAGTTTTACACTCTGAGCAAAGTACTTAGCCTTTGGTTGGCCTTGTTTCCTTAATTATGAAATGAGGAAAATCAAAGGTTTAAGACCTTCGAAGCATTCTGGGCACAAGTGTATCCTATTACACATCTTAACTATCTATTCATTCCCTAAAGAGTCTTGTATTCAGGATCCTATTATCACTTGTTTTACTTGTTACACATTGAGATTGTGAAGCCAAAGTAAAAAGTAAAGTTCCTTTTATTCTATATTTTGAGACATTTCAACTGTTGTTTATATACTTACAACGGACATTATCTCATGCACATCTGGCTGGATAAGAATGCCTATTAACCAAGATGTATAACATGAATTTACTGCAGTAATATAGTAAGAATGAAGGCATGAAAGGTAAATGAGAGCAGTTCCCATCATGACATCCTCTGGAATGCTGAGGTGAAGTTCATTTCTAAAAGGCACCTCTCTCTGCAGATGAGAAAACAAGCAGTTTCAGATTTACAGACACTGAAAGCTGAACTGACACAAAAGAAAATGAGCTCATCTTTCAAATCTCCACTGTGTAAGTCCATCTAACTGACCTCTTGAGATTTTAGAGAATGACTGGAACAAAACAAGCCTTTGTGTTCCTTTGCAGTGTTTTTTATAAATCATAAGGTTGATGTAGTAGTTAAAGAATACATTTAAAAATAAGACTAAAATTTTACTTTTTGTGTAGGTATTGCAAATTATAGTATAAATCTAAATAGTGGCTGTTTATTTTGAAGATTTTGAGTCTATTATCTATTTTACATTTGATAATCTTATTTTTTTTTTTTTTTGGTTTTTCGAGACAGGGTTTCTCTGTGTAGCTTTGCGCCTTTCCTGGGACTCACTTGGTAGCCCAGGCTGGCCTCGAACTCACCGAGATCCGCCTGCCTCTGCCTCCCAAGTGCTGGGATTAAAGGCGTGCGCCACCACCGCCCGGCTGATAATCTTATTTTTAATGAACTTAAAGGCCAGTATGATGGCAAAATTAATGATTAGCAAAACATATGTTTTAGTAAATACCAGTATATTTGCCTAGAAATAAAATTTTGTTAATCATATTTCATTTAAAAACAACTGCATATATAGGTGTATGACAAATTTGTGTCTAATAATTTAATTTGTACTGCTTTTAGAAATATGATTTTTATAAATATAAAGTTATTCAACATATACTAAGGAAGTAAATAATTTTACTGTCAAACAACTAAGTAAATAGAAAACATAACACTGTCATAACAAATAGTTAATACATCACTTATTCCAGTTTGGAGGGGATCATATGTAAAGTAGACAGGATTTATGTACATGGAGTTCAAAGGATACAAACTGTAGTGAGTCTTTCTGTGTCCTGCAAGGTGGCTCCCAAATAATGACACAGAGACTTCTTATTAGTTATAAAAGCTTGACCAATAGCTTAGGCTTGTTTCTAACTAGCTCTTATAACTTAAATTAACCCATTTCTATTAATTTACTTTCTGCCTTGTGGTTTTATTACCTCATCTCCATAGGGCCCATCCTACTTGCTCTGCATCCCTGGTGTCTTCGTTGCCTTCTTCCCAGCATCCTCTCTGCCTGGAAATCCTGCCTAACTATTGGCCATTCAGCTTTTAATTAAACCAATCAGAGTAACACATCTTCACTGTGTACAAAAAGATTATTCCACAACAATAAACATTTAATCTATGTATTTTCAGAAAGCAATATAAATACAATGTTATGATTTTATTTTATTTTATATGCATGGATGTTTGTATGTCTGTCCCTGTATGTATGTCTGTGTACCATGTGTGTGCCATAAGGTCAGATCCCCTGGAACTGGAATTAAAGAGCCCCTAGGGAAATGAAGTTGTGAGCTGCCATGTGGGTGCTGGGAATTGAACCCAAACCCTCTAGAAGAGCAGCCAGTGCTGTTACCTGCTGAGCCATCTTTCCAGCCCTGTGATGTTGTTAATTGCTTTGAAAAAGAGAACAGGCTAGGCAGTGGTGGTGCACTCAGGAGGCAGAGCCAGGCGGATCTCTGTGAGTTCGAAGCCAGCCTGGGCTACAGAGCGAGATCTAAGACAAGCACCAAAACTACACAGAGAAACCTTGTCTCAGCAAAAAAAAAAAAAAAAAAAAAAAAAAAGAAAAGAAAAAGAGAACAAAGACTGCTTTACATTTAGAAATTTATTTTCACAAAATTGATCTTTTAGAAAAGGAGCAAGATGAGAGAATAATGTTCTTACATAGGCTATAAGCAAAATGCAAATGTACAAGAAAAACATAAAAACTAGGCAAGAGATGAGGGTTAATAAGTGAAGGACTATGAATGACTAGAAGTATAAACAGTGAATAGAATCAAGTTCAACATCAGCTTATTCTTATTACAAGAATTTTACACACAAATCTCATATCAAGTACCTCTAGTTTACTGGTTCAAATATTACTAAGTAATCTTGAATTTAGGTTTAAATGATGCTAATGTGGGTATCATGAAACATTAGTATGTACTATAAGGAGTCAGGAAGCAGAAAAATGTCTAATCATTTTGATGAATCTAAAGAGATACTAAATTCCCGGTTCTAAATTTAAGATTTGTTGAAAATAAATTCAACATAAACTGTTTCTCAAAGGCTAGGTCTTAAGACCGTGTTTGAAGCCAACAGTTTTTTATTTCAAGTTACATATAGTTCTTGTAAATTTTTTATTAGCATATATTAATTGTAAAAAATAATGGGCATCATTATGAGATTCTTATATATGTGTGTAATATAATTTGATCATATTTATTCCCCACCCCATTATCCTCTTTTGTCCACTAGCTACACATATTTTTAAAATCAGTAATGGTTTTTAACAGTACATTTTAATACCAAGAGAGAAAATTCAGCATGAAATTTTGAAAGCAATTTTTTAAATTACATTATAATATTGAAACAAAGAGGAATATTTAATACAGTAGTTGACTTATTTCATGCTTTTATATTCCTGGATATTTAAGATATGTATGTATTTTTTATGTTCAAATGAAGAATTTATTTCTTACCTGTGTGTTGAGTATATCAATAGGTAAGTTATGGCAACATGACAAAATATATACATTTTTATCTCTGCAAGAAGTTAGATCCATTTATACAGCTCATTCTTGTAAAATCTAATAGTCTGACAAAAGATGCTCCTCTCCATCACAGCCTTGATTTTAAAGCTCCCCACATTTCTCCCGTTTGCTCTTTGGCTAGAGCATCTTCTGAGTAGTCAAGACAGTTGGCATTCCACATGCCAATGCCCCTCAAGCCATAGTTTTTGACATATGCTGCCTTTAGTGAAATGCTCTGGGGGTTATCATACCACACTTGATGAAAATGGCCAGCAGGATCCTATACAAAAACAAGTAAACTGTAAATTTAAAGAATTTAATACAGGAGGGGGAAATTATCAAATTCAAAGATTCAAAATGCATGCAAAGAAATAATGAAAAATTTATAGCACATTACATTTCTGCTTTATTATTTAATGGTCATATACATTGTATTTCTAAATATTACCTTGTGGTACTTTAGCAGCAATAAAGATTACACAATTTAACCTCCTAATGTAGTCTATTTAAGAACCTCCTTGTCTTACGATTCTTTATTTGATCTGTTCTAATGACTATCAATTAAGATGTATGCTTGAATCATTGTAAGTCATGGAGCTTTTAAATTACACCCTAGAAGGGCCTGGTGATGAACACCTGGCATTCAAAAAGATGAGGATCATGAGTTCAGGGCAAGTCTAAGCTACACACTGAGACCCTGTCTTAGAACAACACAAAACTAACAGTTCAGATTTCTATGTCTCACTCTACATAAAACATGCTGAATCAAATTCTTCTAAGGCGGGTGCTAGGATCCACATCTGTTTATCTTCTGTTTTAATATTCCACTGGGTAACTGATGTGCAACCCAAGTTAAAAGAAACAACTGCTACTGTCCATTAAAACCAGCTTGTTTGCTTGTTTGTTTATTTGTGTATTTATTTATTTGTATTCTTTACAGTTTTTGGAAGTGTGCCAACCTAAGAGTTCAGTAGATGAATACTGTTTGTGATAAATCAGCCAGATGAACAGGTAATAGCAGTGGAGAAGGAAAGGGCCACCTTCCTAGGTCTTCCAGAATTGATCCTAAGGCTTTTGGAGGTGACTCCTGGGATGACTGAGCACAGGACTGATTAAGAACAAAAACTAGATTGTGGTCTTGTACTCACCCTCTACCCTGTACCACTGTCACTGTGAATAAGAGGGAAGAGTTCAAAGGCTTCAAATATAAAGAAATTATAAGGAAAATGCTATCAACCTTGATTTTATCAGTGGATGCTGTGTATTGTGTTGAAAAACCATACTGAATCCCATTGACATATGCAACTAATGCATAAGAGTAAAAATACCTTAAAGTGTGTCTAGGAAATAAAGTAAACATACTTAACTCAAAAACAAATCTATTCCTTCAAAGAAACTAAAATGGTAGTTATATCAGAAGATGTGGATGGGGAGAATGGGAGACATTCAGAGGACACACTACTTTAGTCAGACAAGAGAAACAAGTAAAAAAGATCTAGTAAATACCATCATCGTGATAATTAAGAGCAAGTAGCGAGGGATTACATATTTTAAAATTGCTAATTTTAACTGATCTCACTATAAAAGAACTGTGCAAAGTAAGACACATGTAATGGATATGTATATCAAAGCAGGTTGTATATCATAAATAGATACAATTTTGTCAATTAAAAATGTTAATTTTTTGAAAAAAGAAAATGTTTCTGCATCTTCTCACTTAGTAAAGAAAAATTAAGCCAATGATTACAAAACAGTTTATGGCAGTATATACTATCATTACATACATATTTCTAAATTATATATAATTGATTACTATAACCATAGAATACTGTTTCCCTGCCTGGTTCTGAGTGGGTTGAAGCAGGCTCTATGTTAAATAAATAGTTTATGTATTGCAACATTTCCTAAATATTTTAATATAATTCCATACAATAGAAATCCCAGACCAACAGATATGACCAAGTGTTTTCTAAATATATTTGGTCATAGAACATGCATGAATGTTTGCATATGTATGTGCATATCTATGCATAATGTTAACAGTTCTCAGAACAGAATTCTAGTAATATTGCCTTTATGTACGTGTGTATATGCTATGTGTGTGTATGTTTTCTTATGTAATGTTTTTCTGTTCCTAACTTTTAAAATTCCTTATAATTGGTTTTACTTGTAAAATAAAATTGACAGATGCCATTTTTTCAATATAAAAATCTATAATGACTCATCTACTAATCTCAGCTTCATTCCCACCTCTCTAGATCTCATCAGAATTGTTAAGCTATTTTGAAATAAATGGAGACTTTCAAACATAAAACCTACTTTGGTCAAAGCCCTTTGAAAAGCAAATTACCTCAGCATAGTTGTTGACTATTAAGGAAGTCCTATTTGTGATATGCATAAAACATCCAAAAGGAAGTCGACCAGGCAAGAGTATTACACTAGTAATGTAACTTCAATTGTTCCCCAGGCAACTCAACTTCCTGATTACACAGACTCAGACAGGTTTATGCACAGAAACAGTAAAACTGGTAAATTATTAATGCCAGATATCTAACCACAAAATACAGATTATGGGAACTAATAGAGTAAATGTTGATAACTTATGAAAACGTACCTTGTAGTTATAGTAAGGAGCTTGCTGGTCTTCGTCCCACTGGCTCCCAGAAACAGAACTGTTTACTTGCTTCATGATGACTCTGTAGGGCACCTGACGTCCTGCAGCATCGCTGCAGGGAGCCCCTCGGAAAGGGACCTTTGCAATGGTGCAGACGTCCTCCTAGAGATACAGAATACTTGTTCATGTTATTATTAAGCAAATGTCAAAGTCCAAATGAGACAAATAATAAAAACTGTTAGAAATAAAAGATACACTATAAATAATCTATAAATATATACAATAATCATTAATATTAAGAAGAAAATGCATGGCATTCAGAAACTTCCATATTAGAAAATTATAAAGAAACAAAGTTTAGCTTCAAAATATATTTCAGAAATTATTTAAATAAAGTTAAACATAATCAAAGCAGACTAAAATATATAATGGAGCAATCATATAACAAATAAGTTGTTCTTACCTCTGATAGATTCAGGCAGGTATAATCATAACCATACCAGGGAATACCCATTACAAGTTTCGTAGGGCTAATGCCCATCTTGATATAGTCACTATATCCTAGTCACATGGGGATAGAAAAACACATAATTCTTCTGTTTATATATCTGTTAATATGTACATAGAAGCTGGACAACACTACCAAATCTTAAGTTTGGAGAAACAGGTACATTTTTACAGATCCATTTTCTGCTAAAAAGTCATCCCTTAAAAACTGGAAGTCCTATGTCTTGCTTTCTAAGCTTTCTTTATTAATAAGAGATGACATCCAGTAAAGATGATATGGAAACAAAATAAACAAAATATAATTGGAGAAATGAAAATTGCAAGAAATCATATATAGCTGTTAACGTATATTTGATATTTGGTATTCTAAAGCTTCAAAAAGAAGTTCTGTAAATCTTAACTTTGTGGTAGTGATACTCAGAATTTCATATAGAAACTCAAGTGTTCTATGTTTAAAAGTACTCTGTATGCTTCCTAGTGACCACTGTAGATAAGAAATGTCCTTGCTCTTATACTATGGTGACCTGTAATGTAGGACACAAGGAATGTGAACAAACTCTCCAACTACTGACAAGAATGGGGACGGGCTAGATCTTGTGCCAGTCTTGTGTGGCTGCCACAGCTGCTGTCAACTTCCGAGTGTGCAGTCCTTCATAACCAGAAGACACTTCTGCTATGGTCCTCCCCAACTCTGGCTCTTCCACTCTTTCTGTCCGCCCCACAATGGTGTCCCTGAACCGTGCGTGCGTGCGTGCGTGCGTGCGTGTTACAGAGTTTCCATTTGTGGTTGAGTATATATGGTTGAGTTCATATACAATTATTGTCTGCACTCTGACCAGCTGAGAATTTTTGCACTAACTTCCATAATAGTAAATAAAAATGTCTTGCCATATGGCTTGAAGTATGAAGTAGGACCAATGATAACATAGCTATCCCATGAGGGTGTGATAAGAAGTAAATGAAATTTTCAATTTTTTTGAAAATACTAAAGCTGTCCAATTTATTTTTATTATTTTGTTATATTTTTATTTGTAAAGCAAGCTTTTACATAAAAGGGGTATATAAATAATTTAGAAAAACTAAAAGGTACTTTAGTGTGCAAGGTTTTGGAATAAATAATACTAATCAAGTGATCATTTCTTGGATTCTTACCAGTTAATGTCTGATTATAGGGAGCATTGGCTGCTGCAATACATTCTGACCAGATCTGACTTTGCTCATCATAAGACATCACGAAGAGAAAATCACAGGCACCTGCGATTCCGGTATAATTATAGCACCTGTTGTCTATGTTCTTTGGTGACCAAGCTACATCAAAAGTTACCTGTGAAAAAAAGCCTACACGTTATTTTATATAACATGATAAAGTATATCAGATTCTTATCATACATTCTCTTGCCTCATTCTACCTAAGGATAAAGAACTGCTTACAATGTATGTAATCTGACATATGTAGAAGAAGGCTAATAAGGCCTAATAAATATATTTTGTTACTACATTGGACTGGCCTGCGCACATATCTGGATACACAAGAACCAGGAACACAGCACTGTGAGGAAAAAGAATTTCAAATGCAAATGTTCTCAAAGGGTAGGCTAGGAACTCACTGATTGAAAGAAGCAGGTTCAATAATAACACTATGGTGGGGCTCCTGAATAAGTGGAAGGTGAAGAAAAGAAATCAAATACAGACTTTACTGTGGGGGCAACATAGGTCACCTGTTGGTACTGCCTGATGGTATTCTGAGTTAGTTCCTGATTCATAATTATATGACATGGTAGGGTGGGCCCAATATTAGAGTCAAGATAATTGGGCTTTATTCACCAACTCAAAATGCTTAACGCATCACTTAAATGATCTTAGTTTTGGAAATAGCCAAATGAAATAGGTGATAAATTATCCTTTACTTTCAATGGTGATCATCAAGGATGGGTCTCTTAAAATATGTTTTTTACTTTAAATATTTATTGAGTGCCATTGTTAGCAAAAATCCATGAGAGTTTACAGCAGGTGACAACTAGTGCTCAGAAGGTCAACCTATCAGAACTAAGGGTTCTGTTAAAGGAAATCATCATGCAAGGTGTTATGGAATTACTACCTTTTGAATGAACTGGCTGTCTCTTGTAAACTTCTTATGCAATAACAGCTATGAATCTCCCCATTTACCGTGCATCTCCATGTTATGTGTACACGTAATCTCACAATTGCATCTCAATCTTGGGCACAACTTTCCCTATACATTTGGGGTAATTGGATAACTGTCCCCAGTGGCGTTTATTTTTTATTAACATATATCTGGCCAGAGCCATTCTTCAGACAGAAGTATTTCAGCAAAGATACCTTTTTCCAAGGACAAAACTGCACATAGATAAACATTAGCTCATCTCACTCACAGATAGAGAAAAGAACCACTAACAATTAAATCCTCAACCCCTTACCTTCACCCCGGGTTATTTACACAAGACCATAACTTATGAGATTTACTGCTCCCATTCCTGGGATGATGTTTTAGCCATTTGCTAGTTACTGAGTTAAGGCAGTTACTTCCCACTGACCCAAGGAGATTGCCTCCAGGCCAGGCAGGTGATAGGTGCAAGCTTCTTTCTTGTGCAAATCAAGTTTTAATTCCTCCTCAACCAGGTGCTATTCCTAGATTTTCTCCTCAGCAATTACTCTGAGTGAAAGTGCTTTTTTTAACCAAATACTACATGCTCTGACATAGGTTGCTTAGCCACCTAGCATGTGTGCCCCTCCCTATCAGAAAGCAGCTGCAGCTGGGATGAGCGGAATGGCTGCGCCAAAGACAGTTGACTTTCTTGTGACTTATTCACCCCTACCATTCTACCTAGCACATAAATTCCCTAATTGGTCTTAGCCTTTAGTTGGCCCTACCAGAGAACTCCCCTTTAGTCACTCCCCTTTTGAGTTGCAATTGGAACCTGACAATTACTTGCTTTATGTGTGGATCCTTCTCACCTCTCTCTGCGACCCTGAAAACTTCAAGCCTTGCATTGCTTTGCCATAGAATTACTGTGTGGGTATATAGACTGGTTCTCTGGGAGCACTGAGAGGATGGATGGAGAAGAACAAAGATGAGGACTGAGATGGAAAGAACTAGGTAGAATAGTGAGAGAACAGCAGAAGGGACTGAGAGAAGGAGGGACCGAGAGGAGCTAAGTAAGAGAGCAGAAAAGTAACCGTGTAGATAGAATCGCTGTAGAAGAATAAAGTGAATGGACTAAAGAACTCAAGTGTGCTTAGATTCATTGAATATCCCTCAGATTAGAATCCTCAGCTGGTTGTTAAGACTTTTCCGTGGACCCTGGGAGCAAACAATATAGGCTGGACCTAATATTGTTTGTGTTAAATATTAATAAGTTTTATTGTGTAAAAACATTCTAAAATTCCACCAAATGTTTTTTCCTTAATCAGGCACCCAGTAAACACTTATCAATTATAATAAAATGAGTCTTTATATAAAATCTTCATATTTTTGTCTAATTTATCTTAGCAAAACTTTCAGACTTTCTGAAAGTTTCCCCTATGATTGAGTACTAACAGTTCTACAAAAAATGGTTATGAAGTAAAATTTTACATATTGGACCCATTTGTCACTGCCTCTCATTACAAAATGGGAGCTGTCTTGCAGTAATAGAGAAAGTTAGCAAGTACCACTAAGCAGTTAAATTTCCATTCCACAGTTGCTACTTACATATCTTGAATACTAAGAGTATTTTCACTTGAATTGCCTGTCACAGTTTATCTTCTGAGAAAGTAGTGGTTAAAGACAAGAAAGCTAAAGCCTTAAGTTTTAGTATTCACCCTTACAGCTTGCCCTGTGCTAAGTCACATAAGGCATCTGTCTTAGTCAGGGTTTCTACTGCTGTGAAGAGACACCATGACCACATCAAGTCTGGCCAGCCTGGACTACAGAGTGAGTTCCAGGAAAGGTGCAAAGCTACACAGAGAAATTCTGTCTTGAAAAACAAAATCAAAAACAAAAACAAAAAAAATAAAAAATAAAAAATAAAAGGAAAGCATTTAATTGGGGCTGGTTTATGGTTTCACAGGTTTAGTCCATTGTCATGGTGGGAAGCATGGTGGCATGCAGGCAGACATGTTGGTGGAGAAGGAGCTGAGAGTTCTATATCCTGGTCCACAGGCAGCAGCAGGAGACTGTGTGTCACACTGGCCTTAGCTTGAGCATATAAGACCTCAAAGCCTGCCTCTACAATGACACACTTCCTCCAACAATGGCACACCCACTCAATAAGGCCACACCTCCTAATAGTGCCACTCCCTGTGGGCCAAGCATTCAAACACATGAGTCTATGGGGCCATTCCTATTCAAACTACCACAGCATTAAGTCTACTTTCAGAACAAAGATGTAGAAAGAACTCTTTACAGGCATCTCTAGCTCTTTAACTCTGACTGCATTCCTAAGAAGCTCAGTTTCCCACTCAAGGCTCTCTATTTTGGGCATTTTTGTTTTCTGATCTCTAGCTTAAGAACCTTGAGCCATGTCATGAATGACTCCTTTTTGAGTGGTCTATCATTTGTTCTTCCTTTTTTATAATGAAATTTTCAAGTATCATTTCAAGATTAACCCTGTATAAATGATATATACCTTTTAAAATCTTCCTTTTAATTTATTCAGGACTGGCAAGATGGCTCAGGGTAAAGGCACTCGCCACCAAGTATAGAAACCAGAGTTTGTTCTCTGGAACTGATGGGAGGAGAGAAATGACTCCACAGTGTTGTTCTTTGACTTATACACATGTGCACACGCACACACTCATTCATACACAGACTAAATAAATGTAAATTTAAAAAAATTAATTCAACAAACATTTAGCAAACATTTCCTGAGTGCAAGAGTGATGCTGTCATCCCAATCTCAACCATAAATCTCCTTCCCACTAGATATGTTCATCCTTGTGTCATAGTTTTACCAGTGAGTCTCAAGTTCATGACAGCCAGCTCTGCTAGAATCACCTACAGCACATGGTAAAAATGCAGTTCCCAAAACTCTATCCCATACTCGATGAATCAGTGTTAGGAAATTATAAATAGCACCCTCATGTGATCATGGAGCAAGTTTCAGAATCATTGGTTTATAGTACTTACGGTGTTCTACCTTGCATGAATATTACATGTATGTATAACAGATACTCAGAATATATTTATTATATATATTTTATATAATGGTGAGTTCTACATTGATTCTACAAAGTATAGATAAAAAAATTTGCTAATTGTCTATAATGAACATGTGTGGATATTTTTCTTACCCTTATATCCTCAACACAGCTATGGATGTAACATTTACATTGTATTAGGTATTATAAGTAATATAAAGATTATTTAAAGTATATGGGCAGTTTTGTGTAGGTTATATCAAATACTTTGCCATTTTGTACATGACTTTAGCATCTACAGATTTTGATATCCGGAGTCCTGGAGACAACTTCCAGGGATACCAAGAACAATGTGTATGAGTCCTACTTAAATAAATATTTTGGCTTTATTGAGACAGCATCTCACTATATAGCCCAGGCTAGCCTTGAAATCCCAGTCTTCCTGCCTCTTATCAATTATGCACTGGTATTAAACATGTACCATCACATATGGCAGGATTTTAAATGCTTAAAGACAGGGATCATTAATTTGCTCAGTGTGGTTTGAATAGGTATGGCCTCCATAGACTCGTGTTTGAATGCTTGGCCCACAGGGAGTGGCACTGTTAGGAGGTGTGGCCTTATTGAGTGGGTGTGTCATGTTGGAGGAAGTGTGTCACTGTAGAGGCAGTGTGTTTCTTCACAGCAACAGAAACCCTAACTAAGACACTCAGGAATCATTTTTTTCAGTGCTAGAGGTTGTACCCAGGGCTTTGTGCATATTCCTGGAGGTGACTCTCCAGTGTGTGTACACAGGTGTTTAAGTTTTTATTCTTTTTTAAGACCCAGGTTATCTTAATGTGTGGCCATGTTTGACAACCCTGATCTGGAAGCACACGGCCCTTTGCTACTTACACATTGTCTGGTAAGACGCCTTGTGCTGAGATCGGCTCTAATTATGTGTATGGCCTATTGTTACAGTTCTGCCTGGTTGGTTAGAATTAGTCCTTCGAGCTTTTGTGGGCCCTGAGTGCTTTGCAAATAATATAGAGACTACAGAGAATGGGGCAATTCCCCAGCACTACCCCTCTTTGTTCGTGCCTGCTTTTCTTGCTCTCTACTCGTAAAGGCAGTTTAGGCCCTTCTGGCTTCTTGCTGCAGGCAAGTAGACAGAACAAGCCCAATGCTGTATTTTGATATGAATAGAAACTCGGGAATTTAAATAATATTAACACTCCAGAAAAGGTATTCGGGAAATATGTGTAGAAATTCTTTCACCATTCATTACTATAAAACTAAGATACCATAAGCCATACTTTCATGAATACATTTTGATTAACAAACCAAAAACAACAAAAAACGAATATGTATTTACCTG